GGTACTTAAGGAATAGCATATAATTGTACGATTTTTAAAAAAATCAGTTCCTTTGATTGACACCAGAAAACAATTCTGAAATGCTATAAGAAAGAATAGAGTTCGGGTAAATGATTTTGCGAACATAATTGAATTGCCAGGATACGCGCAGCACAGCATAATTCAAACAATTTTCATTTCCTTCATTCAAATTCTCTACAGTTTCTTCAGCTGTAACAGTGATTATGCTATTTTTTAAGGCATCGACTAGAAGTTGTATGTTTCCCTTGTTTACCTTCTGATTCGAAGATAATTGAATTATGTCTACTTAGGTAGCTACTGAAATGAATGTGAAAAAATTATATTTGAATTTTTAGATCCGCTATTAAAAATATTCAAAATAATGTAAAAATTCTCATCCTTTCATTTATCTATTGCGATCTGAAGTACTCAGATATAATCATTAATTCAAATGATGTCCCAAATACATTACATTACATTAACGGCTTAAGTTGATATGACTAATGTGGAAATCAAATTCACAATTTCTGCAGAGACGAAGTACTTCTTTGTGCTCCCCATATTGATAGTTTCTAAAGCATAGATAGATATGTATACGAAAAACACAATAATATGTATTTATATCTGATTTATATAAATTTCTGTCCGTAAGACACCTTATTGAAACAATAAACACGCTCTCAAAGCTTTAGCTAAAAAAGTAAAGTGTTTCAATTATTTTAACTGTCATCTTCAATCCGCCTTTAAGGCTTGAAAATTTCCTTTAACGTTCCAAATGGGCTTTTGTGAATATTCGGCCACAAATCATTAAATTCCCTTTGCAACAAAGGTCGAGTAATATTGCTATTGTGTAAATGCATTAATTAAAATATATGGTACTCCCGGAATACACGATACACGATATGATATATATTGATTGAACTGATAATTCATTGATCAATAATTCTCGAGACTAAGCAAAAATAAAACTTTTTTTTTTTTGCAAAATTCGATTTTATTCATCACCCCAATCTTCCAAGTCTTCTCTTACCTTTCGATTTCCCTTTTACAGAAGAATTTAGTTAAAATATTTGTTCCAAATATCCAACACAATCTTCCAAGTCTTGTCTTATTTTTGGATTCCGCTTTTACAGAAGGATTTAGTTAAAAATATTTGATCCAAATCTAAGGTTTTTTTTATTCATTTTTTATTAATTAATTTCATTATATTGCAGCGTAAAAGATAGCTAAAGCATTAAAGTAGGGATAAAATTATTATATTAAAATAATAATTCGCCTTCAATTTGCCCCCTTTTTGTTAACTCTACGACGTTTTTTTATACCCTAGACCAGGTTGTGTTAAATTTGTGCGGATATATGTAACTGCAGGGTTGAGGCAAATCTACCTTTTATTATACCGACAGATTCAGAATCGCTTTCTGAAACGATTTCTGATTGTCTGCTCATCTGTTCCGTGTGTCCATGTGTCCGATAGAATGCAAATTGTGAGATATTTTAATGAAATTTGGTAAACTGTCGTGTTTTGACTCAAGCAGACTTTTCGCATCGAAACACTTCTTCCATCACTTCTCATCAAAGGATTCCTTTTGCATAGTCGTAGATTAATGCAGGGCATTTAATAAGCGGCCGTGGGGCACTACCGTGTTTTTATTGCATTCGAATTCTCTACTTTTGTTCTTGGTCTACTGTCGGCAAATGCGGTGGTACTTATTTGGAAAACAGCTTTCTCCTGTGGAAGTTGCTACGTGGAATTTTTTTCCATCTTCAATTACAACTCGTATCTGCCAGGTTATTCGGCCTATTCATGTTTATATTCGAAAAATGAATGTTTTGCATCATTTTAAACTTTGATCCATGCATAATTATCTTTTTCACAACTTTGCCCAGGGTTCAAGGTAAACACAGAAAAAGTCACAAAGTGATACGAGTCCATGAGAAAGCAAGATTCTTCTTAATACGAATATAAATATATTGCTATGCATTAACCGATTAGAAATTGCGTAATAATTTCGCTATTTTCAATAATTATAAATCTATTAAGATAGAAGGTCTATTAACTAAGAAAGATGAACATTTTTAAATAATAATTATTATTATTATTATTTTATTTATTTTTACTTAAACTGGTTTATTACATCCAACTACTCGATTAATTGCAAAAAGATGATCATTTTAATTTGAGGTTTACAAAGTATCCTCGAGCAATTACTGTCAAAACGATTCATATAATTATTAAATAATTAATCAATTGATCAATTAATTAATCAATCGCAACAATGTAAAATCAACTTTGTATTAAAATTTATAACAAGCATTATTTAACCTCTTTCTTTACAGCAATCGGGCTTACCGTTATCATTAACTGCTAAAGTACAAATAAATTTACATTTCAAAAATATGCGAGCCTTTCGTCAATTGCAGGCATTTAGCTATCAAACCATACCCACTCTATGGTTCGACATTGTAAGTAAAAGATACAAAACAAAACCCCAAGACTATATATATGACATTATCGTCACATATATCTATTAATTTTTCTTTACAGACAATGCCGCAATTGCCCGATGAAATGAATTTGCTATTCAGCATGTATTTGAATGTTTTACCTTATGCTGAACCTATTATATTTTGGAGTTGCTCGATCATTGGTTTTACGTTAGTATTCTATGCCATTACACGTGCCACGTTACGCATGTCCAATTTGGGTCATTCAACGCATATCTCCGATGGTAATCGATATGGTAAAGCGAATCTATTGAATTCGCAAAATGGCGTTTACAAGTCATGCGAATTGAAACAAATCGAAGGTAAAGAAAAATCACGACTTTTACCAGGCGAAACCTACGCTCGTAGCAATGTTAACGAAGAGTATTGTGAGAAAGAAGAAAGCAATAGAGCAAGATCGTATATTTTGGATTTAGAACCGACCGCCTTGTCGGCCTCGGATTGCGGAAGCAATACCGGCAGTTCGAGCAATGATGAGGGTAATGATAGCGACACCGCTACGATGACCATAAGTCGAAATTCTTCATCGTCCAGTTGCATGGGAATGCAAATTTCAAACAAGAGCAACGACCACAATAACGACGATGTAGAAAAACAGGTAAGCTTATGAAACATTGCTTATATAAATGAAAAAAAAAACAAAAAAAAAAAAAAAACACATTGTGAAAATTTATTTAACGATAAAAATAGTTGTTACATAGTATTAATATATTACTTTAGAACGATTTATACATATTACGGGGCCATAAAGTAAAATTATCTCTAAGACCTGACGTACGGTAATTATATCGTATAGCACTTGAGGTATGAAAATATTAAATTAACTTTGTGTATAAGTCATTGTGTATCTTTGTGTGTTAGGATGTACACAACATCTAAATAGACTTGACAAAGAAAGCACCATTTATTACACCATCACTCGATTCAGGAAGTAATTCTGAGTTGTCTGACTGTCTGTCCGTCTTGTATTCTTGTGTTCAGCTTATTTATACTTTTATTTAACAAAAAAAAAAAAAGCTATTACACAGTATTAATATATTACTTTAGAGAAGATTTATGCATTTTATGGAAGACATAAAGCAAAATTATCTCTAAGACATGATGTATAGTAATTATATCGTTTAGTGTTTGTTGTAGGGGGCTATGTTAAGTTTGCATATAAGAGTGATTGTGTGTAAGGATGTTTACAACACTCAAAACAACTTGAGATAGACGGACCTTTTATATAGTATTATCGAATCGATCTAAGCTTGTCTATCGCTCAGCTTGTCCGTCCGTCCTGTATTCCTATGTTCAACCTAAGGGCAGCAATTTTTGACATATGCTAATGAAACTATTTGGTCCATGAACGAACGCTATTCAAAATGGTTCGGATCAGACACATTTTTCTACCGCTTCCCATAGAACGGCTTACATTGAAAACTTGAAAAAAGTTGACTAATTATATTAAGCGAAATGGTGTAGAATATTTAATGTTTTAATATTAATTTTTAATTGTTTTCTAAATTATATTTTTAATATAAATTTGCAGAAGAACTTTAATCTTAATAGAAAAACAAATTTTTGCAGAAATTTAAATTTAATTAAATCTACCTCCAAATATAGCATATATATATAGTAACTGAAAGATTAGGCATCCTCAGGATGAACTCCAACGTATGAAGGCTTCTGTATAATTGAATCGCAAATCGTCTAAACTGCCTAAGCCATCTTTCTATTAGAATTGCTTGCAAAAATGCCGCAATTCATCTAATGACAGCTCAGGTTTTCTTAGGAGTTTGATGACGTAATTAAATTAGAAATCTCTTAAACGCCATATTTTGTTTTGCTTTTCTTGAGGTTAGGTCGTATGTCATGTAGTAGTTATCATGGAAGAGCAAATGTTTCAAGAAGAAAATTCCCTGTAATGTGCTCACTTAATCTCTCAGTTAACAGCCAGTTATTGAAAATGAATTTTATGTTGAGCGAATCTTTGTGAAAAACCTTCAATAAGCAAATATTCCTATTTAGTCTGATGCAAATCGTCTAGACTTAAGGGCGTGAAATCTTATCTGAAATTTCTAACGTCATCATGGAAACGTTAATTTGAAAGCTAACTAATAAAACTAAATGTTAATTTATACCTTACGAAGGTAAATAGATCTTGTTATCATTTTTATACGCTATACCGCTTGTAGTAGAGGGAATATTAAGTTTGTTCGAACGTATGTAACACGCAGAAGGGCTTAAGATAGACCCAACTTTTACTATAACGATCAATTCAGATTATGATTCCGCCTGTCTGTCCATCCGATTATCTGTCTATGTCAATTTGTGTTCACGCTATAGATCGCTACAGAATTCTTGAGATATATCGATGAAATTAGTTCAGAATTCGACCTTATCGAATTGAATTGGATTACGTAGGTCTATTTTTTGGATAACACGGCCTATAAGGATTCGTCCAATATGCGGACTTGCGCGACAAGTATGCCTTTAGATAAATATAACGTATAACTTTTGAGGTATTTTTATCAAATGGACTGAATAACTGTACGAGACGAAGTGTTATGGGGGTTATCTAAGAGTCGTTTTTGCCCGACCATAATTTTCTTAATTGTTTCAATTATTGTTAAGATATTATGAACGATAGAATTGTAAAGACTTGTTTTATTTCATAAATTTATAAATTTTTATAGCTAACAATAAATTTCAAAATTTATTTATTATATTCTTTTCTTAGTTTAATTAATAAATATGCTAATTTATTAATTAAGAATTCTAGAAGTTTCTCAAATGAAATCACGAACAAATTGAATTTAATATATTAATTCAACACATTACAATGTTTCTACTTTCAGACAATTATTAGCTTCACCAGTAGCAGCGGTTATGATACTTCAATAACAGAATCTTAAGATTACATAGTTCACGCGAAAGACAAGTCTTAAAGGGAAAGCTTTACATGATGATAATGATGTTGATGATTATTATTAATTGAATTAATTAAACGGCAAATGGTGATTAAATTAAGTTAATAACATACGTTGTTAAGACAAAAATCAAAATACTGTGATACTGTGTTAATTAAAACTCAGCAGCAACGTTGATCGGGCTCCAAGTAACAAACGAAAAAAAAAAAACAAAAAAACAGAAAAAATGAAATCAAATAAAAATCATCCTACATACGCGCGCATATTTATGTTTATTAAATTTACAGTTAATTTCCCATAGGCACGGTATTCATATTTAATTTCAACTTACTTATGCTCTCATATAACAATAATTTTTTCTTTTTATTTTATTTTATTGTATTTGTATTTATTTGTACATATATATATATTGTATTAAATTGTATATGTGTTTGTGTTTATATTTACAAAGTTTTTATAGCGAATTTTTCATTACTTTTTCATATGTACATATAGCTTTAAACACCTCTGTGAGGTATAAACCAAATGTTATATAAGCTTAACGCAATGTATATTAAATTAGAATAGAAGAACAGTAAGTGTGATGTTATCTAAGCTTTTTCATCAAACTATGAATTTTTCTTTTTGTTTTTTTGTTTTTTTTTCTTAATTAATTTATTGGCATAAGATGATAAAATACATTTTTACATAGTCTTGCTCGTTTTCTTTTTCACTTTTCATTGCTTTAAATCAATAATATTTTATAATAGAAATTTAAGCATTTATTTTTACAAAAGTTTTTTAAGGTATGGTACCTAGTTACAATTTTAAGTTTTTTGGCAAAATAAAAAACAAAAAAAATATCAATTGTTTTTTATATCTTTAATACTTTCATACTAAACAAAGAAAACAAAAAGAATGGGATATACACGAGCACATACATACATTGCTATATGGACGTACAATATAAAATGATGACAATAAAATTTGACATTTGGTAGCAAAAGCTTGCGGGTATATTACACTTCATCATCCCTTTGCTTGGATTCGATATGTCCTTGATCTAGTTAGCTTTATCCTTCTGTCCACAAGCTTATCGTGTGCTGTTGGAATGCTCATAATGACAAAAATTTAACATTAGAAATTAAACCTTGACAGATATATCCTTAATCGATGAATTCTTTGCCAAAGAAGTCAGGTTTGGACATGGCCATGGTCTGCTTAGGACCGCTCTTTGAGAGCTTATCCAATATTTCTCCGAAAGAAATACTTTGTTTTCTTATTGCTTACTGTACGATGCTACTTATCTTCCTTTTTTAAATTGTATAAATTTCTAAAAGAAATCAAATTTGGACATGGCCATGGTCTGCTTAGGACCGCTCTTTGAGAGCTTACCCAATATTTCTCCGAAAGAAATACTTTGTTTTCTTATTGCTTACTGTAGGATGCTCCTCATCTTCCTTTTTTAAATTGTATAAATTTCTGAAAGAAATCAAATTTGGACATGGCCATGGTCTGCTTAGGACCGCTCTTTGAGAGCTTACCCAATATTTCTCCGAAAGAAATACTTTGTTTTCTTATTGCTTACTGTAGGCTGCTACTTATCTTCGTTTCATCGTTTTGAAAATGGTATGAATTTGTGAATATTTGTTTGCTATGCATTTTTTTTCAATTTACAAACGGATTAACTTAACAGTGCTGAGTTTTATTCGTTCGTTTGATAAGGAAACATCAACATGAGGTTGCAGACCAGATTTAACCAGACAAATAAATTCTAAGGCCGGTTTTACTGAAAATTCTACCCCACTTGATCATTGAGTCGTTAGTCGAAACCCTTTGACTACTCGGCCACTCAGACGGATAAAAGGAACAAAATGGTGAAAAAATTACTATGACAAACAAGAAAAAAAACCTACACCATCCCACAATTACTCATTAAACGACTTTTCAGAGCAAAGCCTTCCATAAGAAGTCCGGCCCGAGCCATTTCCAATCGCGTTCATCTTTGGGCCAAAACTCGTGCGTGTAACAAACTTCATCAAAATGTCTCAAAAATTGCCGCAAAAAGAAAAAGGAAATGAGACAGGCGGGCGAACAGACAAGCCTCATCCATTCAGAATTACTTGATAATAAAAGGAGAATCTACCCCATACATACGCATAAGCTTAATGTGCCCTTATACCACAAGAGGTGTAGGATATAATAACATATCTATAACATATTGCATAACTTTAAATGCGTTCTTCTTGGAAAAGAATTTTTCAAAATGGCCCACAAAACAACACCTAGAATGCCCATTCTTTATATTCCTCTACTTACCCCCTGGGTCAAACAATGGACATTTTGATTTCAATATTTGCCAATTTCACAAAAGTCAATATTTTCAAAATGTACCTCGTGCTTCTCTAGCTACGGAGACATAAATTAAGTGATTTTGCAACGCCTAGAAGGAAGCATCAGAGATCCTACAAAGTATATATATTCCTGATCAGCATTAAATTTTAAATCGATTTAAGCGTGTTCATCTGTCCGTCTACGAAATGTCTGACTGTCCGTCTACGAAATCGAATTCAAATTTGGCAGAAACATTGGAAGTTCTTGCACGCAGGTTGGTATTGAAGATGGGCCATATCGATCGCGGAACACGCCCACGCCATCACGTAAGCTGAGAACAACTCTGTTTTTTGAAAAGGAATAAAACGATGGATTTGCTCACGACTAATAAACTGCAGCAGTTGAAAGTACAAAAATTCTATGGACGATGCAGTAACACATTTATGCACAAAAATCGAAAAAAATTGACCATGCCTACCCAATATTACAGCGTATCAAAATTTAATTGTTCTTTTAATACCTTTATAACGCGCAGAAATAACCTTCAAAAACATTATAAAGTATATAAATTCTCGACCAATTTCAAATTTGCACTGCCTCTAAACATGTCCGCCTATTCATCTGTTCCAATACGAGGTAATAACGTACAACAAATAGCATAGTAATTTGTATGTATGTATGTAAATGGATATTTGTATACTTATAAAATGCTTCTAACTACATTTCAGAACTGTTTTAAATATCGAGTCAGAAAGAAAGTTTGTTCCTTTTTTACTCGCATATTGACTCTTTAGTAATTACAGCAGCACCAATGGAGCTTTTTAGACATGGCGGATTTGTGTCCTGGCTTATCATCTAAATCAAAACTACATAAATTTAATGGCGCATATGCAAACTTGTTTGTATGGATTACACTCCATGTAACGACATTTAAAATATCTTTGAAAAACTTGATAACACTTATTTAAAAAGTATTTTATTTTAAATGTAGATAAATCATAACACACAGTTATCTAAGCGTTTACAGTCAAATTATGAACCTACTTGCTTTTACACTTTATTTACTCTCGCATTTATTAGTTCTGCCATATGACACTTTATACTAATGCGCTTCATTACTTTTTACACTACGTAGTTCAACATAAGGCAGCTGCATTTTTGTAACACTTTCATTGTAATAGTCGAGGTTATTGCACCTTTTTCAGCTCCTCAATATGACCACGAACTATAAATCGCATTTAAATGGATCGGGTACTTCATACATGTAATAAACGGAACTAGCAAGGCTCATAGCTGCAAATAAATAAAAAATAAATAAAAAAATCCTACGAAAGCATTTGAATATTTCTCAGTCACTTCTCAGTCGACAATAAATCAGATTAGCTAAAGGCTCTGTTATCAGCACAGGAAATTGTTTCCAATCGTTCCCGCTCACCAGTTTATTAAGTATGGAATCAAATATATGTTCTTGATATATCGGGTGTGCAACCACATTCCTTTCGAACTGATTTTTTTATAAGCAAACGCATAGCATCCACGTCAATTTCAAATTGTACACAAAAATTCTAATTCTAAACAAATACAGATTAGCTTTTTCAATTATTCTCGGATGTGACCAAATTCATAGTCGTTTTTTCAATGCAACAGGTGGTTGTAAACAAATTTAGACTGACTTTTTCAATATTTTCTCAATTGTAAAGAAATAGAGACTAACTCTTTGAATTATTCTCAATTGTAAACAAATACAGACACTTACTCTCAGATACGACCAAATTCAGACGCTTACTCTCAAATACGACAAAATTATTTTTGAATTACTCTCATACATGATCAAATTCATAGTCGTTTTTTCAATGCAAGAGCTATTAACAAATACAGACCAACTCTTTGAATTATTCTCAATTGTAAACAAATACAGACCATGAAAATAGAAAAATTACTCTCATGCACGAATTGTGTATAAGAGTTAAGCTTGACTTGATAAAGTGTTCTTTAGAAGCATAGAGCAATGAATATTTTTCTTATTTGTTTCTTAAATAAAGATAATAAAATTATAATCCCTATAGAGTTTAAGTCACTCATCAAAATATTATAATATATATGTATATGTATATGAATATTGTATATAGCGTTTGTTGGGCGGTAAGCTTGCATAATATTCCTTTCCAAGCATTCATTGAAGACAGCGACGACTTTTATAGCCCAAATTTAGGTTTAGGAAGTTTTACAATGCTTTATATATCATAAATATTAAATACAGTTCTCATTAAAAAGAAAACAATTACAATAATTTTTTATATTTATTCTTTTGTTTTGTTACAATCATATTACTATAATTTAGTTTTCTTATTAAAAATATTGTTCGTAAAATAAATCCTTGTGTTAAAAACTATAATAAAAATGTATTTTGATTTAAATGCTTAATAAATAATTCGACTGCTTGTTAATAAATAATTTAAATCAAAAAAAAAAAAAAGAAAAAAGCAAGTAAGAAAATATATTCACAACACAATATCTAGCTTCAGTAAACATAACTTTAATAAAAGGCTGTTTATGCTTTGGATTTACAAGTGAAAACGACGTCTTGAAGCTTCCGTAGAGGAACGCTTATTGGTGATAATCTATCCGCCGTTTAAACATGCTATTCGCCCCAAATTCGATTTTAGATTGTTACCGCTGCATATAAACGAATAATTAAATTTAACTACAAACAAAAATATTGCAAAAATTTTACCCCTAACTGTTCTATCCTAAGTCGAGGACGAGCATGCATGTTTTAATAAAATTTAAAAAAAAATAACCTGGTGGACGTATATATTAACCAATTACGGTTTTAATTACGACATCCAAACAACTAATAAAATACAAGTTTAAGGAGATCTTGCAAAGGACAATAGAATATAATTTTCGAAAAAATGTTGTGGTAACGAAAACAGAGTTAATCGCAATAATTTGAACGTTTTTGACCTTTTTTAAGCAACCAAGTTTCTTGAGTTTTATAGCATTTATCTTTTATATATATGGTGATAATAAAAATAAAAAAAGAAAAAGTGACGTTTTCACACCGATTAAATACAAACATTAAATAATTTTATTTGACTTTTAAAGTTTTCTAAAAAATTTCGTTTAAAAATTTCAAAATAATATAATATTGCAAGAAAATATTCCTTAAGTAAGTATAAGCATTCTCGTATTCGGGAAAAAGAAAAACTAACATAAATCGCAACAGGTGCGCCTTAAAGTTTTATCTTTTCGATATGTGAAAAAAAGTTTTAATATAAATTCAACGTAAAATTTATTAAAATCGATTGTTATTTTGAACTCGCATTTTTCATGTGTCCGTGAAAACGAATGCACTCCAGCGGAATGAAAGGACCGTTTTTTTTTTAATTATTTTCCAGAAAAACCGGCAAAATATTATTATTGTTTTTATGGAGTTTTTCCTTTCACACGAAAACATCTGTTCACTGCAAAGTGTTATAATCGAACAACAGTTCGATATTAAAAACCAAAGTTACCTGTTGATAATAAATGAGAATACAAACATTTAAAAGAGATAAAAAAATATTATATTAATAAGAGAAATTTGAAATGATATACAATTTTTTTTTCGATTTGACAGCCGTTTCTATAAAGACAAAGACGAACTAAAACATACGTATCATCATCGATAGCGAAATATAAAAAAACTTTTCCAATACAATAAAATTAAATTAAAAGGCGTTTGAAGTGTCTATAATTTCTGACATTATTTTTTGCGATATATTTGAATATTTGTATAAACATATTCTATTTAAGTAAAAGGCGATGATGCCTTACTTGTACAATTGCGATAACAAATCGAACATGCCTTCCCAAGAAGAACAACACTGCTGGTTTGTTTTGTTTTCCATTTACTTACGCGAAGAGTAATATATCTGAACGAATCGACGAGAGTATCTTGATTTTGTTTGTACATAATTGTTGTATGTATACAACCGTTTTGATCTTTGTATCTTTAATATAAATTGCGCTGCGTTATTGTTGCTGTTTCGATTCAATCAACCAATTTATAATACATATGAACTTTGAATACGTGGATGTTTTTTAATGCAAGTTTATGTTAAAATTTGAATATCGTCTTAGGATACTTAAGTGCAGTTTTTAGTTATTCTCTAAACAATCAAATTCATTTTTCAAAGTTTTCATATTGTTCATATGAAAACGACCAGTGCCGTAAATCCAGCCGCGCTATTATGTTTAAAAGTGAAAGGTATAACTTTGAGAATTATTCTGTGATTTTTATAAAGCTAAATATATCTTTTATTATAAAAAAAAAACAAGAAGGTCAATGTCTTAATGCTTCATAAATCACTTTCATATAAATACTTTCCAAAGACATCCGAAATCTATGATTAAAAAAATGTATATGTTTGTGATTTGGTGGCTGCTCGATGATTCGAACCAAAGCAAAAAAAATCTTCTTAATATTATTATTTGTTATTATTTATTTATTTTCACTTTTGTATTTTCAGGCCATCGAATCAAAATCTAAATCAGTCGGAACTATTATTTGCTACTGAGGACAATATGCAATTACTTTCAAATCATATGCTAAGCAAACTGGTATGTTAACAATCGATTAATACTCCGTTGAACTGATCATCTTTCCTTATAGTTGACTCGAAATGTTTGCTCGAGAATTTCGAACAATTTGTGTGCTGCCACGGTCATAAGAAGAGATTTTAGCAGTCCTAAATCGGAAAAAAGGCAAAAACTTTTAAGATATCCCGCTTTAAAGTTAGATAAGACAATTGAAAAATTTCTTAAAACCTGCGAACCTTTGCTCACTCCCGAAGAAATGGAAAAAACAAAATGCGTCGCTGAAAAATTTGTTTCTGAAGACGGTAAGAAATTACAAACGCTTCTTGAAAAGGCAGCGCATAAGGAAGAAAATTGGTTATCTAATCGGTGGCTTAAAGCGGCTTATATGCAATATCGCGACCCTGTTTCTGTATGGAGCAGTCCGGGTATGACATTCCCCATGAAATTTTTCATTAATGATGACGAATGGCTTAGATATGCCGCGAAAACAATTATGGGCATGATTAAGTATAAGAGAAAGGTAGACTGTGGTGAAATTCTGGTGGTGAAAATGGGTAAACACGAGTTGGATAATTCTCAATTCAAATTAGTTTATGGTACATGTCGCATACCTCATCCCCAGGAAGATAAAATGGATTACAATCCGGATTCAAACTACGTTGTAATTATTCATAAAAATCACGTAAGTGAATTAAAATATCGAATCAATTATTTCACGTGGAAAACTAATTTAATTGAATATATTTTTAAGTTTTATAAATTGCCAGTTTATGACAAAAGTGGAGAAATTTTAAATGCCGACGTTTTAGAGGGACAATTAATAAGAATTACGTCATCGCAAACGGAACGTGGTATTCCATACGGCGTTCTTACCACCAACAAACGCGACGATTGGGCCGATGCGTACGCAGAGCTTCTAAAATCAGCAAAAAATGCTGAAACCATAAGAACTATACAGAAATCGTTATTTACCGTATCGTTGGATGCCTGTGTGGTGGCATTTAAAAATACAATTTTAGCTGACCGAGCTCTGCAATTAATACATGGCGGCAATGTATGCCGCAATGGTGGCAACCGTTGGATGGATAAAACGATACAAGTGAGTCTTATGTCAATTATAAAATTAAAATAACTTCCTAAACCAGCCTTGCCTTTACTTGCCTTCAGTTAATTGTTAATCCTAATGGTATGAGTGGATTTTGCTACGAACATTCCCCAGCAGAAGGACAGCCAGTTGCGCTAATAGCTGATTACTTGAGCAAGATTGTGTAAGATTTTAGTTTAATTGGAAACAAGCTACTCATTTTTGCTTGGTCCTTTTTTTTTTAGTTCTAAAGAAGATGAATTTAAAACTGGCAGTTCAAAAGACTTTGAACGCTACACGAAGTTGGAATTCGATACACCAACCGATTGTACTATGGCTCAAATTGATGAAGCTTCATCTAATCTAAACGGACTTGTGAATAATTTCCAATTGCATGTAATACAATTTAAAGACTATGGCAAGGGTTTACTAAAACAGCACAAATTAAGTCCTGATAGTTTTATACAAATGGCCTTGCAATACGCTTTCTACAGGTAATATATACGTAAAAAAAAATTGAACAAAAGAATTTTCTATACATAAACTAACTGAAATATTGTTAAATAGGCTTCATAAAACGCCCGCCGCTCAATATGAAACTGCCCATTTGCGAATTTTCTATGGTGGTAGAACAGAAACGATACGTTCGTGCTCTAATGAGTCGGTGGCTTTTGCTAAGGCAATGCTTGATGAAAAGATGGATGACAAGCAACGTGCGGAGCTCTTGCGAAAAGCTGTTGACGGTCATCGTAAATATACCAGCATGGCCTTAATGGGTGAAGGCATTGATCGTCATTTGCTGGGCTTAAAATTGATGGCCTTTGAAAATAAACTACCGACACCGGAGTTTTACAACTCACCCGGCTATATCAAGAGCATGCACTATCGTGTTAGCACTTCTCAAGTTGCTTCCAAAGACGATGCGTACATGTGCTATGGACCCATGTTTGACGATGGTTACTCATGTTGTTATAATCCGCGTGAAGATGACATTTTCTTTGGTGTTGGAGCCTGGCATTCAAATAAGGAAACTTGCGCCGTTCGCTTTTCAAAGTCCATAGAAGAAGCTTTACTGCATATGAAAAAAATTTTGGGACCGCCACCTACATCTGATGCCGATAAAAAAGGATCGGCTGATGCCGACAAGAAACCGAAAAGCAAATTGTAAATTGACTGAAATTATGAAAAAAATTTAATATAGTAGAAGTGGAGACAAATGCAAAATGTTCAATATACAAATTTTTATATCTTTATACAGCGAAAATTCATGTTTTATTTATACATTTTTTTTTGTTTTTTTTTTTTTCTGTTTTTGCTGCTTAAAACTAAATAGATATATTTACAGAACAGACATTTTTTAAACGTGTGATTTAACTTAAAAAAAAAAGCAATCTTTAATCCTTTTTGCAATGATAACAACTGCAAGAAACGGCCGATTTAAAGGTGAAATTTCTCATCCCATTTATACATAACACTCGTTTTTGGATCTAAAAATGACGAAAAATTATTGAAATTTGTTAATATCAAGTAAAGCGAAGCTTGGATATTGTATCGTAATACTTCTTCTGATTCCATCATATTACAGCATTGACCCACTGATATTACTGGTTTAGTGGGCTTAAAGAAACTGCTGACGGCCGCACTACTCCAGGCTGCAGATGGCACAGCATACGATTCGCAAAAGCCTCGACAAGCATTTGTGGTTATATGAAATTCTACACATTCCGGTATGGCTATTTTACGTGTGTTACCTACTTTATGACAACCTGGTCTTATCCAATTCTCTTTAGCGAATACCAGCAATATGCTCAATAATAACAATGTTATAACTTTCCAAAGCAACATTATATTTTATTAAAAAAAATCCAATATAACGGATATTTTTATTTAAAATTTTGTCGCCTTCAAAATGAGTTTGCGAAAACAAAAAAAATCCTTGTTAACGCTTGCAAACGTCGCCAAGAAGTGTTTGATGTTATTCATAGTTAACGAGCTTTTAAAGGAAAGAAAAAGAGTTTTTCTCCAGATGCGATTCGGCGCAATCACATGAGCAAATGTATAGCCAATGATTTAAATTTAAAATTAAAAAGAAAAAATGTTTTTTTATATCCTTTTTAGCATTTACAAGACCAGCAGATAATCGCTAAAGTTTTCCTTTCACTAACTAATCCGGGTTATATTATATCATTTCCATACGTAATATTTAAAAATAGATAGAGTCGCGTTAATTTTTTTTAACTTCAATCGCATTTACACCAACAAACAAAAACTAAATTAGAGCATGGATATGGAACTAATATTTTCTATTTAGTTTTGAGCAAAATTATGGGTTAGCATTGGGGAAATTATTTGTAATAAAAAAAAAAAAAAAAATACCTGATGTAAGATCTAATAAATGAATCACTACTACAGTGGATCACGGTCCACCACTACATCCCAAATATCGCCTTACAGTAACTCATGTAACTGCTTTTTAGAATAAGGCTTTAAGGGAAGTGATCGAAAAAGTCGACGGATCCTAACTGTTTTTAACAGCGGTCGTCCTTGGACAAAATACATTGGTGTACTAAGTTTTATCAAAATAACCCGCCAATTGCGGCCTGTGAGTTAAACAGAAAAATGCAAGATTGACAGAAGGATAGACGGACAGACGGATGGATGAGTTTAAATCGATTGGTATAATAAAACATGAGTATATTTTAAGCCTATCTGGGTGTACCATATACTCGTATAAGCTTAAAATGCTTCTTCTAGCAGAACTGATGTAGAGTATAATAACAAAGTAATTATATAAATATTTAAAATTTCCAAATTAAAATAAATATTTTAGTTAAATAAAAGCATAGTCATCACCTACAAATATTACACATATTTGCGTAACTAAAAGTTCGACTATATTTGTTGTTTTCGTCAGTGCTTCAATAGTGTAGCAAACATGTTTAAGCAGAGTTCTTCTAATAAGCAAAATCTCTTTGAAGGGAAACTTATTTTAAACACTGCTACAAGTTACAGTATAATATATTATCTATTTATGTGTATATAACATATATACAAGATTTTTGAAGTCTTATCTTTTATCACTGTATCTCCATTCCATAATGGAATAAGAGAAGAAAATAATAAACTTCACCCAGCAAATAGGCTTATTCTCAAGTCGCGGGAACTTTCTTTAACGTAGTCCAGATCTTCAGAACAGATGAATAGTTAACGCCATAGAAAGTAAGGCCTAATGAAGACGACACTATTACAAAAAAAAATAGAGAGAGAGAGAGAGAGAGAGCGAGCAGCGCACGTTCCTTTACATTTGTCGGAAATTCATGTGCTCTGAGAACTTTCTACAATATGAAGCATGAAGTTTGTTATCTGAAAAATTAATTTAACCGTTTGAGTCCCAAGAAGCGCGATCGCGTATTACCGTCTGGGTTTTCTCTCGATCGCGCTGCTTGGGATTCTTCGGCAGTGTTTTTTCAATACCGTCTGGGACTCAAACGGTTAAACATTACTTATTTAAAAAAATATGTTTATTAAAAAGTGATCCCTTATTTTCTAGTCGAAAACTGAACGTTTTCATTAAAATGAGAAAATTTGTCGTTTTTAGAAGTCACCCTCGAACTTCTCCAGCTAAGCTTATGTGGATTAAGGGATTTTTTTCTTATTTAAATTTACACCAGCTACCCCGCGTGCCTTAAGTTACAGATACCTGAGGTGAAAATTTCTGCGGTTCTGCCATGTTTAACATTTTCTCATATTAGGTGATGGCAAAAATTTTGATCAGTGACTTCTACAGGTAAAAATGATAAAAAAAAAAAAATGGGAAATAGCAGTGTAGACAACAGTTGAATTAGATGGTTTTGACCTTCTTTTACATTAAGTAATAGTTCTCTGCTCAAACTACCCGACAAACACGTTCAGAGCTTTGTGGTGATGCTGCTCTATCCCAATTGTCGGTTTTGGGTTCAACGGTTTAAAACGGTTTTTAGTTTGCGTAAACCTTAGGCAGAGTTGAAAATGTCTTAAAATAAAAAATTCTAGTACACTTTACAAATTCAAAAAAAAAAAAAACCAATTATTTTTTAATTTTTTTGAACCGGTTGCCTGCGTCACTAGTGCTTAAATCTTCCTTTTGGTCTAAGAATTCATTTCATTAATCTAAAATAGGTGATAATAACATCTATTTGCGTTATATCACACAAATAAATAAGAAAGTTTTTCAAAAACTTCAATAAATCGCTCCTTACACCGAAACTGGTCTCATAGAAGCGTCTCGACGCTTAACAAAGAACGAACACGTTTTAAACAGAACTAAGCTTAGATAGATGTAAAATTTCGTAATCTAAATTGAAAGGCTAATGTCCGCAGGTACATATGTCGAAGAGAGCAAAACGGATTTCGGAAATTCATGAAAAGCGAGTACGTCCGCGAGGAGAACATATATGTTGTAAATGACTCGTGAAATATGTAGATAGAATTTTAAACTCTTTTTTTGGCCCATCAGTCATTATTAAGGCCAATCAGCGTCTATAGCGGCTATAGAAATCGAGCATAACCTCATCTTTGACTTATCAACCATTTCAAAACGTTTAACATTTGAAAATCCGTTTCCCGGAAAAGGCCTTAATAATTTCGAAACAATGCTTGAAAAATTATAATAAAGGCACTCAGTTCCAAGGCGTAGCCATATTTTATTATCATTATTATGAAAAAACGATGTTAAAAAGCCTGATTTTATATCATACGAAAGCGAAAAACAGCGACAAATTCATTCCAATTCGAACGAATCGCCAATGCGGTATGGGGCTGAAAAACTTCCTACATTAGTGATCATATCAAATAACATTTTGGATCCTACAAAAAATAATGATCAATAGTTGTTCAAGTCTTTGAACAGCTAAGTAGTTAAGTCAAAACTGTGCGAATGGATCGCCAATCACTCATAAGTCTCTCTGCAGTGAATTTGAGAAATTGATCCAAAAAGATAGATAATCTTAGAAATATTTGCTGTCTTACTTATCGATTACAACAAAATCATTTTTCAGTTTTTCTTACTCGCAACACCTCATAGGCGCCTAGCGACAATTGTTTTGCTACACCCGAAGGCAGCTATGCATTTAGTGAGTTTGGTTTGTGAATACTTCAAAGACTTCAATTTCTAATCAAAATTCATTTAAACAAATCACATTTTTTTTTTTTTTAGTTTTTAAGAAACTTGATTTCTTTTTATCGTCAACATTTTCCTTTCTTTCGGAAAATTCACAATATAATTAGTTTTATTTATTATTTTTTTAAATTTTAATATTTAAAATAGATTTTCAGTATAAAACGCTTTTTATAATTTAACGTTCGAACTAAGCATACGGTTGAACCTTGTAAACGGCCAGGAGTTTAACTTGTGTTTTCAAAAAAAAACCAAAAAAAAAAAAAAAAAAAAAAAAGAGGAAAAGGCGAAAAGCGAAAATAAAAAGAATACAACAAATTCCAACTGCATAAGAGCCGAAGAGCAACTGGCCGAAGAAGAGCATTTGCATTTGTCGCGTGATAGAATATCAAACGAGCCGAAGTGAAGAGGGAATGAAAAATTCACATTCACTTGCATCAAAATTAATAGGAGAGATTTTGTAAATTTTTGTGTTTACTCCCGCCCCCTCCATCCGCATTTAATCTGTGTGTAAAAGTCTTATATGAAGTATCGGAATTTTATATACACAACAACAAATTATTGTCATGAATCGTGTACGCGAGAATATATTGATTGCTGATCATAATCGAAATAATAATAATAATAATAATAATTTTCTAAATAATAACGTTCAAATTGACGAAGGTGTTGTTATACCGGAACCCGATGTTGAAGCGATGGATGAGGACGACGATGAAAGTGGCGTTAATTCAAAAAAATTAGGCTCAAGTATGAGTGATCAAGCATTAAATACATTGAATGAACTGCGACGGAATAATTTATTATGCGATGCTGTTATATCAGTTGCAGATGGATCATTCAATGTCCATCGTGCCATTATGTCTGCCTGCAGTCCATACTTTAGGTGAACGAATAATTAATTATTTAATATTTTCATTTGTTTAAATATCATTCCAGAGCTCAATTCACGGGCTTCAATACCGCATTTGCAAATGCAAAAAATGATGAAAACCATCACGTACACATACCAGGGATGAGCGGTGCAGTTATGGAGCAAATCATACAATACGCATACTTGCGTAAATGCATCATCAATGCGGATAATGTGCACGAGCTCTTGATATCAGCAGATTATGTAGGTATCATCGGTTTAGTGACGTTATGCAAGCAGCATTTGGCACAAATGCTAACACCTGAAAACTGTGTCAGTATAATGGGTTTTGCTAAGTACGCGCCATCACTTCCTCTTTTCTTCTTTTTTTTTTGTTTTTCTTTTTTCATCCATTATTTATTGCTTCAATTCTTAACTTGCTTCATTCATTGTATAATCGCTTATTAATTGCTTTGTCTATAGTCTCTAATCCGATTTTAAATATTGATTGCATTGTTCTTTTGCATATGCATATGTCTACGTTTGCACGATGATATAATAGATTTCGCTTTTCCGATGACTTATATGCCAAGGCAAGAAATTACCTGCTACGCTATTTCATTGAGGTGGCGTCCAGAAACCGAGATATATTAGATATGAGTTTAAAGGATTTCTACGATATAATTAGCGATGATGAGTTAAATACGCGAGAAGAGGACCACGTATGGAAGTTATGTATTAAATGGATAGATCACGATCCAGACAATCGTAAACAACATGTCGCCCAATTGATGCAGGGTGTACGTTTAGGCTTAATGACTCCCAAGGTAAGTTATATACGCAAGCGCTTATATACGATTTTTTAAAAATGCTTTACATTACATTTTACGGTTTTCAGTGCTTTATGGAAGAGGTGAAAGAACATCCGTATGTACTCGAATGCGAAGAGGCTAAACCGTTAATTGTCGAAACCTTTAAATTTATGTACGATTTAGATATCATGAATCCAGCTTCAGGAGAGGTATGCAAAATCAATTCCTATCATCGTTAAGCCAGTCAGTTATGTAACCTTTGATTTGTTCGGCGTTTAAATAGCTGACGACGCCACCTTTGGCAATGCCCCGTTTACCGCATGAAGTCATTTTCGCGATTGGCGGTTGGAGCGGCGGAACCTCGAAAGGTTGTATTGAAACGTACGATACACGAGCCGATCGCTGGGTTAACATACCCGCCGAAGATCCAGCCGGACCGCGAGCCTATCACGGGACAGCTGTTATAGGCTATAAAATTTATTCAATAGGAGGCTATGATGGCGTTGAATATTTTAATACTTGTCGGGTATTTGATGCGGTTAAGAAGACGTGGAAAGAGGTTCGAGTGATTTTTTTTTGTTTGCTGCATTTACATCATAACGATTAAAAAAGATAAGGGTGTATGTGTGATTTTCATTTCTTATAATTTTTTTAATTTGCTTTTCAAGATTGCTCCCATGCATTGTCGTCGTTGTTACGTAAGTGTAGCCGAACTAAATGGTTATATTTACGCCATTGGTGGCTATGACGGTCATAATCGCTTAAATACCGTAGAACGTTATAATCCGAAAACGAATCAATGGACTGTTATAACGCCCATGAATATGCAAAGATCAGATGCTAGCGCTTGCACACTTAAGGGTAAAATTTATGCCACTGGTAAGAGAAATAAAAGCATAGCAAAATTAATGGGTGAATTATACGAAAGTCAAGAAAAAAAAAAATTCATTTAATTACCATTTTTTTTCTTATGATTTCTTTTAATTTTTTTTTTTTTTTTTTTTTGTATTCTTTTGTCTTTGTAGGTGGATTTAATGGTCAAGAATGTTTAGACAGTGCCGAATTCTATGATCCGCATACGAATATCTGGACTCGAATACCAAATATGAATCATCGGCGTTCAGGCGTCTCGTGTGTTGCTTTTCGTAGTCAAGTTTATGTCATTGGCGGATTCAATGGCACTGCTCGTCTTTCAACGGGCGAGCGTTACGATCCCGAGGCGCAAACTTGGTCATTTATAAAGGAGATGAACCATTCACGCAGCAATTTCGGTTTGGAAATTATCGATGACATGATTTTTGCCATCGGAGGTTTTAATGGTGTCTCCACTATTTCACATACGGAATGCTATGTAGCCGAAACGGATGAATGGTATTCTTATTAACTTTTTGTAATCGTCACTAGATTTCGTTATTCCGCTTGTAAGATCCGTCATGTCACAAATGATACACCTCGTCAGTTCACAATCTTTTTTTTTGGGTACGCTTACAATCGCAAAGCTTGTTGTTGACTGATAAATATCTTACATAACTTCAAAGCTATAGATCAGCGTATTATTCTGCAGATATTAAATTGTAAATTAAAGCTTATAAAGTGTATTAGTTTAAAACCTACAAACGTCCCGTAAGCCCAATTAATAGGCCAGATCAATTGAGCCATTCATAAAAGACTTTTTTATATATTGCTCTCATGATAGATCCAATCCAAGCCAAATATAAGCATTCTCTTTGTTATACCCTACACCACTTGTGGTCCAGAGTATATTAAGTTAGTGCAGGCGTATGTAGGAAGGGCGTAAGATAGATCCACCTTTTACTATACCGATCGGTTCAGAACCATTATATGAATTGAGCTAAGTCTGTCTATCTGTCTGATTTCTGACCGCGTAAATTACTAACCCGCTTTGACCCAAGGACGAAAACTGTTGGAAATGATTCCGATCGGTTCACCTTTTCGACCACCATCCATATAACGCCCCATTCCCAGAAGCTGTTATATTGAAAAACTTTTGTAATTTTCAAAATTTCCCAGCAAAAGAAGCCGAGGAGAGTAGTATTTCCGCATTCCGAATTGAGCAGGCTGTGGCAGTCTTTGAAGTTTTAATATGTAATGATGGAAATTGACCCGTAATGTTATAGCAAATACACACAAAAATGGACTCCTCAAAATTCGACCATCTACGCCTATTTTTGGACCCTCCCATATATAAGGAATATGCACATGAAGCAAGATATAATTTTTGTGTTCTACAATAAAAGCAAGAACTGGGTTAGACAATGTGGTGTAGGATATTTAATGGTCGGCCTTGCCCGATTATAACGATTTTACTTGTTTTTGTGTACAAAAACTAATGAGAAATCTTTATTCCTTCCCTACATGTTCTGCACGTTACCTCAAAAGGATGGAAGCTACTGATATGAATGTTGTTCGTTCGGCTCTTACTGCCAATAATGTTGCCGGTCTGCCGAATAAACGAGATTATATACATAAGGAGAGGGACCGGCTTATGGAAGAGCGCCGACAACGATTGCTGGCGACGGCCATGGCACGGGACGAAAATATTACCGGCTCAAATGTATCGGTTGAAATGCAAGACGTTGCTATGGATGATTACGATTCACCTAATGAGGACGAAGATGCCGATGACGAAGACGACGCTATGGTCGGTGTCGGACCGCAAGCTGCACCGGTCGGCCCCCAGCCGGCTGCAGCCGACGACCGAAATGAAGATGCGCGTAATAACAATGATCAGAATCGACGGTTTCGAGTACAATTAAGAGCTCAACGCTTTGGTTCTCATCACGAGATACGACGTCGTGCCTAAATTTGAATTAACGGCCAATACACACAGACAAATGCAATTGCAATTAAAAAGTCCAACTTCTCTCCCCTCTTCCTTGGAAGAAGAGTTTTTAAAAGAACAAATTTTTTAATCATGGCGAGATGACAAATTTTGCAGTTAATCGACTTTTTAGCAAAGGAATTTTTTACCTATTAACAAAGAGGAATAGAAAAAGAAGAAAGGAAAACGTGTTACTTACCTTAGATAAAGCGATATTTATACTCTCATCAGGTTAATCGATGACAATAACTGATGATAACTGAAATTCGAAACGTTTTAATAATTTAAATAAGAAAGAAGAAGAAACAATAATTCAGCTTTCTATATAAAATTGGTCAAAGCAAACAAGTGTTTGAAAGTGCCGACACACATCTCACATCGACTCAATCATTTAGTTATTCATTATCCTGCTTAGGCGATTGCAATTGACCGGCAAAAAAAAAAAAAACCGAAAAATTTATATAAAAAATTTTAATATACCGTAGAGTATAAAATCCTTTGAGAAAAATTGTATAATGATGCGTAAGACAAAATTTTTCAAGAAAAAAAATGTAAAACAAAATTAATAAAGTGTACAATCAACAAATAAAAAAAAAAAAAAAATCGTATTATTTTTTTCCCCAATTTCCATAAAGACAACAGTAGTGGTTGCATACACATCTTCTTTTTAAATGTTTTGGAGAAGAAAAGAAATGGGAAGCTGGTGAACAAAATAACAACAAAAATTGCTAACAGCAAACGGTATATAAATGCTCGCTGCGCGATAAGTTGTTCATTTCATAACTGATTTTTTAGTTGAATATTACACGGACAACGCAGCCATGCAAGCTAAGCAGAGGTAAAAGAGAAAACAAAAAAAAAAAACAATGAAATTCTTTTCCTTTTAATTTGAAAAAATCCTCTCATTACCGTTAGGAGGTCATTATTAATAACAACATTAGTCGCTGTTATGTTGGTAATGTTCTCACCCTTGCCGAGCACTGCTGCGCTAATCGAAGTCGAGCCTATCAATGGCAGTCCAACAGCAGCACCTTTGGGTTGCCATCGAAGACTTTACACGTATCGTGTAACTCAGGCGGATAGCAATGGTCGCGAATGTTGGGATTATGTCAGCGTAGCTGCCTGTTGGGGACGTTGTGACTCGGGAGAAATTTCCGATTGGAAATTTCCTTATAAACGTTCATATCATCCGGTATGCGTTCATGCTACACGACAACCGGCTGTCGCTGTGTTACGAAACTGTCATGCAGAGGCGGACGAATCAGCTCGACGATACGAGTATTTGGAAGCTGTGAGCTGTCATTGTCATACCTGCTCTACCTTGGATACCAGTTGTGAGGCGCCTGCTAATAATATTTTAGATGAAAAAGCGGGTGTGAAAGTGTTAGCTTTGACTGGGTCAGATTCTATGGCTTTAGATTATGAATGAATGATTGGCTTAATTATATACCTGACTAAAATATAATTTTTAAAGAATTTCCAACAAAAATCTATTTACAGCGAAAATAATGTTTTATAATTAGTTATAGAAAAATTAATATAAATATACAAATAAATAAAAATTTTCTGAGCAAACAATAACATAAGCTTCGGATTTATGCATTGTTGGTACTTTATAAGCAAGCAATTAATGTTAATTAAAAAGAGAAGTGTACACGATAGTTATACTCGCTGCAAGGCAAGCTTTAAAATCAATCCTTCTAAGTGAATATCTTTGATTCTTGAACCCACATGAGTATGTTAATCTTGAGATGAACCCTCTTTTTATTATGTCGATCAACCGCGAATCGATTTCTGAATCGATTTGAACTTGCCTCCGTCCGTATCCGACTGTCCGCTTGATGTTCTTGTGTTCAATCCTCAAGCCGTAATTTTTAAGATACATTGATGAAATTTGGTACAATCATCAAGTCCTGTACAGGCTGCTTCGGCCTACCGCTGTTGAAAACGGTTCCAACTGTTTCGACCATTTCCCACATGTCGCCTCATGTTGAAAAGTCGTTACAAAAATACCTGTAGAGCAGCGTACAGTATTCGGTTTTTGCCTGTGTTTGCAAAAAAAAAAGACAAAAAACAAACCGACAAAAAGCATTATAGGCAGGCAAGGCCGACCGTTAATTACCTTTCGCCTATAGTTACTCATTTCTTCTCGTGATAATATGCCCAAAAATGATATCTAATTTTTCATATTAAAGTCAATACCTAAAACGTGGATTGACGTTATCCGAATGTAACAAACTTAATTTACGTGTTAAAGACTGTGTTATTTTTCATCCATTTTCGCCATAAAAACACTACAAACTTTTACGTTTACTTTTCATGAAAAACCCTATACATAATAGACTTTAAAACTGTAGATCTACATGATCGAGATTTCCTATGAACGAATTTTATGGAAAACTGCTACTAAGGATCAATTATCATTATGATATATAAAACCTTATGTGATTCAAATTGGATTCAAATTGGATTGGATAGTGTATTAGAAATTGAACCATAATTTCTTCCATGTCAGCATGGAAGAAATTATTTTTCACACAAATTCTCATAAGCGTACGGGTTAAAAAAATAGACTTATTTGATCCGAAATTGATAGGATTAAATTGTTATGAATCAATTCTCATCATAAAATATCAAACATAGAATATTTTTGTCATGTCAAGGTGGTCATGTTTTTCATGAGAACCCTTATAAAGGATGAGACCCAAAAAATAGATCAATATGATCCAAATTCGATAAGGTTAATTTACTTTATGGATCAATTTTCATCGTGAAATATTTAAAATTAGACATTTTTGTCTTATGAAAATTCAATTTACCTGAGAACGGTTGTATGAGGGAGGATTCATCCGATTTTCACACCAATTTAATATGTCAAAATGGTATTACTCAATAATTTTTGTCGGGATACTTTGAAAATTGCAACATATGAGCGGTGGCCGAAAAAGTGGTCTAATCAATCCATTTTCAAAGAATCATTCAGTGTACGAAATTTCATTAAAATATCTCAACAATTGCGTCCTACGAGTTAAACGAGTTAAACACACGACACTAAATGTACTCTGTACAACAAGTGGTGCAGGATATAAAAGTAAAAGAAATATTCGGCTTAATCTAGACTGGTGATGGGTTCAACGACAATAATATGCTATGGAAGCATAGATACTGTAGACTATGTTTAATGTAAATCCGCCTAAGTGGCCGAGTAGGCAAGAGTCTCGGCTACACCAACTCCAATGATCGTGGGTTTAAATCTCAATTGCGGTAAAGTTTTTAATAAAGCCGAAAGCCTTAGATGCTAGTACTTTAAGAGTTCAGTCTTTGAATTTATTCTCTAACTAAATTTATAATTTTATACTAATAGTAATAATATGTTTAATGTAAAGTAATATTGTAGTATAAAGCGGGCAAATTTTAAATTTACAATGTTTCGAAACAGCAGGTATGAAAACTGTGTCCCTTCATATATACAAAAACAATGGTCATAATCAATTTGTGAATTATCATACAAAACTTTTGAGAATAAAAACCAACACAATCAGAAAATTCCTCGTGCATTTCTGTACATATTTGAATTTAGTCAAACATGTTGAGAGACCTGTCGATTGATTTTTGATAATTTTGAAATTTCAATTTTTGTGCTACAGGTGTTTTTTCAGAGAGGTAAAAGTACCGCAACATATTGAAAACATCATTTGAAAGTTGTGCGTGCGGACGGGATTCACGTTTATGTATACATGTGTATAAACATGTATTAAATTGCATTGCTTGGGATATTTATGGTCTGGAATATTTAGGTATATAAACATGTATGAATTAGTTTGCACGTCGGGGATATTTGCATTGATTGAAAGTAACTCTGCGATTTCTGTGCTCTCTGCATTCTCAACAAAAGGGCATTCTTTTTAGAAACCGATGTAAACGGAAAGACCAGATGACGGCTTGTAACCGCTTTAATGAAAATTCAACTCAATGCAATTCAATTACTTTCAACAAAATCATTTCACAACGCCAGAAAGAGACCTATTAGATGATTGCAAAATTTTAGCAAGCGACTTATATAGGTAACAATTATAAAGAAATGGGAAATACTGGTGCATATTATGATAAAATTCGATGATTTTGACTTAAATAACAGTTTTCAATTAGGTATTATTCAGGCATTGAGTGGTTTGGTATTATTGAGATATTAATCGTGGAACGCTTAAAACTGTATTTTCGTCATTCATTACTTCTGTTGTTTGATTGAGGAGAGTCATTGAGTTCGAACCGAATGAAACCATCACTGCCGATATCTACCAACGTCTATTGAACAATATATTGAACAATATATTGTTGCAAAAGAGACCAGCAATAAAGGCTAACAGATGCGAAGTCCTTTGGCGTGACAACGCTCACATGTCGCAAGAATCGCCTGAGGTACACTGCTGCAGCTCGAATGGGAAGCTCTGCCGCGCCCAGCATATTCACTAGTTCTAGCGCCCACTAGTTACTACTATTATAACATAATTTTCATCGTGACGCATTGAAAATTATAGCTTTTTGTCGTATGAAGTTTAGTTTTTCTTTATATGGGAGGAGGTTCAAAAACTCTTCAGCCGGGCTAAAGCTTTCACAGCAATTTATGAATTCTGAAATACTAGTACTTAAACACTTTTGTTAAGAAATTTTGGAAATTACAATTAAGTTCCATGTAACGGCTTTTCATAATAGGGCGTTATATGGGAAGTGGTCGAAAATGTGGACCGATCCGAATCTACATGGGCATACATCAGGCAAACAGACACGCTAAGATCAATTCAGATTACGATTCAATCGCTATAATAAAAAGTGGATCTATCTTAAGCCCTTCCGCGTGTTACGTACGCCCCAACTAACTTAATATATCTTGCACTAAAATTAGTGCAAATTTTTATTTGTAACGTCTTTTCATCGACGACGTTAGACAGCCTAAAAAAAGAGTGCTAGAGAAGGTTGGGGTCAATCCAAGACGAAAAAGAAAGTAAGTAAAGCATTAACACATAGATTATCTTTATGAAATTTTTTAACTGATGTTTATGGCATCAGAGGTGAACTTGGCCCGTGAAGAATTTTTGTTAACCCATTCTCTCAAACATGCTTTTGTTTGTTCTTTATTGTTATTATTATTTATTTTATATATATTTTTTGTATATTATTATTTTTTTGCCTTTTAATTCAAATGGATTCTAGAGTTTAAAACCAATTTTCTGGTTATTTTAGACACAATAAGCAAGAAGAGTTATTTCTCAGGATATCACACAATCCGAAGCAATGTTGTGCATGACGAAATATGTTGACAATGTTCGGCAATTCTACACTGGAAGCGAGAAACTCACATTCAATGCAATATTCGCACCAAACAAGCTACACTTATCAGCCGCCCCTCAAAATAAACAGATCTTGAACCTACCAAGCAACGTTTCCAACTTGCGACGAATCATGAAATTGCGAGCTAAAAATTTCATAGTTTCAACAAATTCTTCAGAGAAAAGTTTTTAATTAGGAATAGACTATACAAACAATCAAGTTGTTAAAAAAAAAAAATCTTGTGATATTATGTTCATGTAAACGTAAATACGGTTTTTCGCAAGTCGATATCGCAATTAATTTCATCAGTTTATATATATTTGTACATTGAAGTAGAAAGAAAATATTAACTATTCGCAACATAAAATATACACCGAAACGATTTTATTTTTAATCGTTTGCAAAACTTCATTATAGAGAAAATTTTTTCCTTTACTCAGATCATATTGTGTTTGTTCTACTTAAAAAGGAATAACGGTAACTCACAAAACACTTGTGCGTTACTACCACCAATAAAAAGCATAAAAATGTCGAAGAAATATCCGTCCTTAGCTCGAAAGATTTTATAGAATAACAGTCTTCTTTCAATTTAAAAGAATTTCATAGAACTATCACTTGATCCAGACGATCGTGTCATTTGGAAAAGACAGTAAAGACTTGTTATGCCGAGGCCTAGAGCGCCGCCTAACGCACATTTTTTTAGTCCAGCTGCAATAAATAAAAAAAATTTTAAAAGCTTCAAGTTTATTGAGTCGGATTTTATATATACCTGTGGATTTGTAGAGAAATCCAGTTGCTGTGCCAGCTAAAATAGTGTTTAGATCATCGTCCTCACCGCGTATATTTTGTAGTAGTACGCCGAAAGCCGAATACATAACAGCCAGAGTACCTAAAGTATTGGCTGTACCTGAACCTTGTTTCATCACATGATTTAACATTCTAAAAAAGTTTACATTGTGAACATTTTCAATCATCGTCTATGCTGGCAATTACTCACTGAGTTCTCCATAATTTGCCACTTTGCTTCAAAGCTGTGGTAGTTTTGAGGCCATTATAAAAACCGGCCATTCCACCAACTCCGGCTCCTGCCATCACTGACGTTCCAATCTGTGAAAAAGCCAATTCAAAGCGTCCTCTTTGTTTGGTAGCTCCTTCTGGGAATATGAACTCTGGCTGGACTTGTTGCAAGAAACGCGGGTCATAATTTAAATACGGTGATATCGGCGCGCTGAAACCTGTAAGGGGTGTTGACAAACTTGTAGAACGACTCGATTTGGGTTCATCAACTACAACGACAAAACAAATTTAATTTAAAAATTGCGTAATTTATATTTACGGGATAAAGGTTTCAATATGTTTGAATGTCTTATTTCTTATTGTTCTTACAGTCTTGTGAAGGACTTAATAATGGTTTATTCAAAAAATCGTCAGTCATAACTAAGGGCGGGCTTTTTTATTTCTATTTGAAGGACAATTACTATGGAAATTTAGCAAAGCAACTTTTTTTTGTCAAAGGAAATATTTATTTTCAGGAAAATAAAGTAAAAAAATCGAACAAACACACGTGAAATTTTCTTTTTTTTTAAGTTCACAAAAACAACAACAACTGTCAAAATATATACCGTTGCCAAACCTAAGTACTTTCTTACATATACATGTACCAACTAATTATAACGTATACGATAATACGATATAAGTACGACGTTTCGTGCTCAATATCTTTTGTATCGAATTTTTCTTGTTTACGAAAATAGAAAACGATGACAGCACTAAACAAAATATTTTACACAATTTTTTTTCGTATGTTTAATAGACAAAAATAATAATAATAATATCAATTAAATAAGGAGGAATATTTATCGTATAAAAGCATAAATTTTATAAAATTTGAAGCAAAAGTGCCGCAGCTACAAGCGTATACGTCGTTTTACCGTGTAATAGCAATTGGTGTATAAGAAAATAAAAAAAAAAACATCTTACCAATGTCTTCAAGCGATGTAAAATTGTCGCGTTTATTATTACTCGCTCATAAATTTAATAATTTTTACTTAAATGGTAAGTGATAGGCAATAAGTATTGAGAGTGCAATAAGTCCTTTGCGAAAGGAAAAGCCATTGATTTATTGATTTTAAACCTTGCTTATGTATGGGTGTGTACACTTTATATACAGACACGCAGAACAGGGCTGATATATCCTCACAAAAGGAAGCTTAAAAATAAAACTAAAAGTACACACACTGAGGTCATTGACCAATTTGCTAAGTTTTCTGTTAGAAATTCCAAAAGATCATAGAAATTTAAATCTGCAATTAGGTTGAAGGCAATCTAAACTTGTTTAAAATAGTCGCACCTCGCATCGCGCTATCCCATGTATGTATGAGAATTTTTGTGCAATTTATCTTGTCGTGACATGTAAATTTCCCTATATAAAGACGAAGACTCTTTACTCTTTTTTCCACTTTGCATATACGATCTATTTATTTTAGTTTTATTTTTTTAGTCTCTTTTTGTGTATTAAGTAAAATTGTACTCATGGACATCATTTCGCTTAAGTTAGCAACAGTTTATTAACTTACAGTAGTAAATGGGTTTAATCTAATTCGCAGATAAGAGTTACTTTAGTAACAGTACCTTTGCGCGCAGCAATACACCGAAATTGAAACGATAATCTTAATTGGAATGTCCTAAAATATGCGAATTTTCCACACCAAAATTTCCAGAAACTTTTACAAATCTGTAAAAAATCATAAGGACGAAGAGACTTCGAAAAGGGTTTTCGTTAATAACACTAAACAAAACAAAAATGACAACAAACTCCAAATGAGTCCTTAAGAATCTAACTTTCTAAACTAGGTTATTGAAGTATATAGCCACCGTCTTATCTAAACTTTTCAACATTTCAGTAAACTGAAACGAAACCTAGTAAATAATTAAAGTGATTCCTTCGAACTTTGTATATTTAATTTTTGTTCAAATTAAAATAATAGTAGTAATAATAGATTCATCTATAGTTTGTTCTCTTGATCGCAATAAGAAGAAAGAATAAGTCAAAATTGCTTTTGTACTCATTATTAAAGAAAGAAGTTGCAACAAATCGACGCTCTCATATGTAAAATAACGCAAACATATACATGTAAGAAATCTATGTGTAACTGAACAGTGATCGATTTGGGTATCTTCATGTATCCATCTGTCAAATATGTTTTGCCGAAAGACTATTCCAAAAATTAGGATAAGAAAGGTGTTCTTGGTATTCTATTGGTATTCTTAGATGATGTGATGAAACTCTCTTGACGCATCCTTTCTCGAAATACTCCAAATAGGCAAAAAGCTTTTCCAAGCCGCCTAATATATATCATAGGCATACCTCTTCTTAAATCAGTATAAATTTTATCCGGAACAATCGGATTAAAAAAATAAGATGTACTTTTAATGTAATAAATAAGAGATATGTTGATGGATACTAAGCGTTCGCCACATTTCCTTCCTTTCTATGACTTTATCTGCGCATAGATATATTTAATAGTTTATTCGTTATTACTATTATTATTTCTTAGGCTTCCAAAAGGGTGACATACGTCCCTTTCTAGTCGAAGGCCAGCAGGTCGGTCTAATTAAATCGGATGTGATTAAACAATTAAATAAATATCCAGAAGTTTTTTGTATACGAGATTGTGAATATACTAAGCAGGTACGTTGCCATAAAATCCGCGAAGCTGAAGTGTATTACAATATTTCTCTTTGCAGGGTATCGTTGAACTAAATCCTGCCTTTCGTGATTATTCGGAACGCACCGAAAAACTTGATAAGGTATTACGCGAATTAAGATCTAAGGGTTTATTTTCAGCTTTACAAGGCTGGAGAGAAGAGGTATGACATTTATATATAATATGTTTTTAGAAATAAATTTAATTACATCCGAATGGCCGACACAATTTTTCAGTATTATGAAGTTAAAGCTGAGCACAAGAGTTTGCTGAAAATGGATCGTTCAGCCACGCCTTTGTTCGGAGTACGCAAATATGGTGTCGATATCAATGGCTATGTACGACATCCTACTCATGGTTTGTGCATTTGGCTGCAACAACGCTCGAACACTAAAGAAACCTGGCCTGGAAAATGGGATAATATGGTAGGTGGTGGTTTGTCGGTAGGCTATGGCATTAAAGAGACAGCTGAGAAAGAAGCCGCCGAAGAGGCTTCGATTCCCGGAGATCTTGTTAAAAATTTAGTATCAGCGGGTTGTGTATCATTTTTTTTTGAAAGTGAACAAGGCTTATTTCCTAACACTGAATATGTATTCGATTTGGAACTACCTTTGGATTTTGTCCCACATAATGCCGACGGTGAAGTTCAGGCTTTTGAACTTCTACCAGCCAATGAGTGTATAGAACGTGTATTCACGGCTGACTTTAAAACTACCAGCTGTCCCGTGGTTATAGACTTTTTAATTAGACATGGTTTTATAACTCCAGAAAATGGTAAATCTATTGCCCATTAATCATTTATTATCCACAAAGATTGGCATTAAAAGTTATTTTTTGTTGCGTTTTATGTTACAGAATTTTGGTTTACACAATTAGTTGAATTGTTGCATGTGCCCTTACAATCTCTATATACGTACAAACAACGTTTGGAAGAAAGTAGAAAGCATCACCAACAGCAGCAACAAACCGAATTAATTTTGATTAATAAATCCTTAGAAAATGGTCATGCTATTAATAAAACCATAACAAAGACTAACTAAATTTGCTGAAAGTCTGTCATCACATTAAAGAAAGGAAAAACAATAAGAACCACAATAACAACGACAACATAATGCAGATATTATGTATTCTGAACCATAAAGACTGCGTTACATTTTTTCGCGTTCAATCTTTTATTTACATATTACATCTCTGGAAGAGTTTGAATGCAACGTATAAATTAAAATAAACATATATATATAAATAAATGAATCCGTAACACTAATACACAGACACACACGCACACACACACACACACACACACACACATGCGCATGTATAAACGCAAATATTTATGCGCTAGTTTTATATATATATATATATATATATAAAGATATATATGTATATATATATAAAGTCTATTTCTGTCCTGTTTTCCTTTTACTTGTTTTGAATGTAACCACTTATTATTACGCGTTCGTAATTCAATATATAAAATGCTCTATAAATATATATATATATATATATATATATATATATATATTTATATATATTTTTATATATATATATTATATATATATATTAATTTATTATTGTTGTGTATTTGCAAAAACAAAAACAAAATCTTAAAAGAAAAAAGTAAAGTGTTTAATAAGACTTTAATATAGTGTTCCAGAATATCGACTAATTTGTTTTTGGCAATTGCTTGCTCTCTAACAGTGTTTATTATTACGCCAATTGAAATACCTCTTGATTATTGTTTCCATTTTCAGCAAAATGAGTCTAAACGATTTGTATATAACTTTAGAATTTCTTGCCTCATATCTATGTATAAAACAAATAATGTTAGTGAAACTTTATTCTAACAGTAAACAACAAGAATAATAACAACAACAACAGCAACATAAGCCACAATTATTTTGTAAAATTTTATTATATTGTAGTTATTATTTTTTATCCTAATAGTAATGCATATGCATATGTTTATAACATTCGATTATCACATTTCATATATTAAATGCGATATTTACTTAGCTATAGCTGTATGTTTCTATAAACGCATATGAACATGATTATTACATTATTGTAATGCAACTTATATTAGACATATTAGACATTTGATTGTACCAAAGTGCTCAAATTATATATTTTGAAGATGAAATTTTAGATTTTTTTTACCTTTTAATTTAGTTTTTAGTTTATAATCGTGTTGTTTTTTTATTTAGTACAGACATATATAAAATATAATATATAAGCGAAATTTTTATGAAATATTTCATATATATACATAGATGAATATATTTATCAATAAAATCGTCAAAAATAAATAAATAAAAATATACTTTTAATAATAATACATCTATTTAGATACAAATCAAATCAGGAGTGAAAATTTAAAGTTACACCAAATTGGTTAAAATTACTAAAAGACATTCTACGATTTAGACCTAATGTTAAGAGGATAAACCTTTGATTCTTATTAAAATTTTCAACTTCGATTTTTTGCTTACACGGATATATACTTAAGACCGAATTTTTTTAGATATTTCGCTGAAATTTGGTCTACTGGTGTGTTCTGTTGTAGGTCAAGGACGAACGATGTTAGAAATGGACCATGGACCATATAAAGGAAATCAAAAAATATTTTCAAAACTATTACGAAAAAGTCTGCTTACAAATGGATACCGGTCAAAATGTAGGCGCACGTATCACCAATTCCGGCCTAAAACATCAATTAAGAGGCCGGTGATATGCGTAGCGGTAACACAGCACTGTTCTTTGCCGTCAAAAGTAGATCGGTTTGAGTCGTACCATCTTTTCTCTCTGCTTCCCATACAACGCCTTGCTTTGATAAGGCGTAGGGTATTTAATATCTTCTTATTTTTAATAATTTAATTAATTTTACTTCAAAGTAAGAATTATACTAAAAAAAAATATTAATATATATGTAAAAATAATTCTTTTCACAAAATGTGTATTATAATGCCATGATGTGTCTTACAACAATGCACAATCAGAAATGAATACCACATCTTGCACTTTAGAAGGACCCAATCGAGGACAAAATTTGAGATAGACATGTGTTAAGAAATTGCCCAGTACCATTTCAGAATAGTAACCGCTTTAACATATTTGATAGTTTGTTTATGATCTATAAACCAAACTAAAGTTTGCGGGGAACTTGCATCAACAAATGAGTTTTTCTTATGCTTTGAACATTTTTTTTTTTTTATATAATTTGAAGTCGAAAAATATATGAACTGTATGTAACATTTTAAATTTATATACAGCTTGATTGTTTCTAGAATTCTCTTAAGTGATTGAGATGACATCGTCTTATGTTTCGTTATAAAAAAAAAGGATAGTAAGACTTGGGCTTACAGAAAGTGTAGAAAAAGGAAGTGGATTACTGGTCATAGTGAAATGATCGCACAATGTGGTCCCGCAGTCTCTCATACTTGCATATGTACAACGTGGCCGGCATACGTATAGCACTAGGATCTAAGACTATCGGCTTTATTGAAAACATGATAATGCCGTGTGTATGACATTTTGTAATTTCCTTTAATGGTGAAGTTTTTCATTTGATGGCACGTTTTTATTATTAA